CCCAGGGTGCGTGTTGTCAGGAAGCTAGGCCGGAGGCCGAGTAGCTGGGACTTGAACCGGGCACTCTGCCATGGGACATGGTATCGCAGGCCACCATGCCAAACGGCACGGAGGCCTCCCCGTGCCAGCAGCGTGTGCAGCACCTTCTTTAACCCCATCACAGGGATAACTGTCCCTAATTTATGGGTGGGAAAACTGAGGCTGTGGACATCTAAATAACCCCGCCGAGGCTCCAAAGCTAGTAGAGGCAGAGTTGAGACTTGAACCCGGGATTTCTGGTCTTTAGCCCCTGTGCCTTGCTGGCACCTCTTCTGCTGGGAGGTGGGTGGGCCGATGTTCGGATTCTTGCAGTTCAATATGGCGTGATGGGAGGTGGTCAGGCAGCCCCTGCTGTGAGAGGCAGCAGCCCCCCAGGCGACAGGAACAAGCCCCCCACCCCCCACCCCCCCCCCGCACCAAGATGCTAATAGAGTTTATAGAAATTTAAACATTTCCATATTTTTCCCATTTTTCTACAATTTTTAAAAATGTTTGTTTGTTTAAGAGGCCGAGTTACAGACACAGAGAGGGAGAGACAGAAAGGTCTTCCATCCACTGGTTCACTTCCCACATGGCCGCAACGGCTGAAACTGAGCCGATCTGAACCCAGGAGCCAGGAGTTCCTTGGGGTCTCCCACGCGGGTGCAGGGGCCCAAGCACTTGGGCCATCTTCAACTGCTTTCCCAGGCCATAGCAGAGAGCTGGATCAGAAGAGGAGCAGCTAGGACACGAACTGGCGCCCATATGGGATGCTGGTGCCGCAGGCAGAGGCTTAGCCTACTACGCCACAGCACCGGCCACATCATAATTTAAATACACTATTTTTGGATCTGCAAAAGCAATGGCAACCATCAAGAATCAATACTTAAATAGGACACTCAATGCTCGTGGCCTTTCCCAGCAGCCTTAGATGTAGGAACTCACACTTCCCTGCAGAGTGGCCAGCACTCAGGGGAATGAACCACTGGTACCCAACCGCCCGGTGACCTGTAGTTCTCAGATTTTCCCTCTGAATTTTGCTCATCATTTTAAGTCTCAGTTTGCGTTCTCCCTCCTCCAGGCAGTCCTCCCTGATCACCCCAGCAACGCACACATGCATATCCTCTCTTAGAGGGCTGAACATTGGCTGTGGGGGACACTGTGGGGCACCCCTGGGTGTCCCATAGCACTCAAGCCACTCACTCTCCCCCTCCCAGGAGCACTGCAATACACAGCTCTTGGCGATTGCCACTGCTGAAGAGACACCTCTCTTGAGGTCGCCGTGTTCCCTGGCTCAGCCGCAGGCCCTCAGGTCTGTGCGAGGGGATAGGAGCGGAGTAAAGCTCTGATTCTGTTGCTCTGATGCAGCCCTTTGATGTGACGGCAGAGCGGGCACCAGCCCCGTCTGGTCTGTCTTGCCCCAGGTGCAGGCCCTGGTCCAGGAGTATTCCCCAGCTCCCTGCATGCCCGTTTCGTCCCGGGCGTCTGCTTCCGGGGCCTGTGCCCCTCTGCTCGGCTCCATTAAGAAAATAGCACAGACTGCGTGGCTTAAACATCAGACATTCATCTCTCACAGTTCTGGAGCCTGGACGTCCAGGACCGAGATCAGCAGAGCCGATTTCTCGGGAGGCCTCCCTCCTCGGTCTGCAGACGGCTGCCTTCTCGCTGTGTCCTCACATGGCCTCTGGTCTTTCCCCTGCACATTCCCTGGGTGTTTGTGCATGTGTGTGTGCGTGTGCATGCCCCAGTTCTTTTTATGAGGATGCAGGTCAGATTGGATTAGGGCCTGCCCAGCGGTCTCGTTTGAGCTTCCATCTACCTGTTTAAAGGCCTGTCCTCAGGTACAGTCATGCCTCAAGGTACTGGGGGTTAGGACTTTGGCATACGAGATTTGTGATTTGCAGAGAGCAGAACGCATTCAGCTTATATATGGGACCAGCGTGGGACACCATGTGCTTTCTTGCTACTCACCCGTCCTAGGTTAGCAGGTGCATTTCAGGTCGGGAGGAGTTTTCTTCTCTGTGAAACTGACAGAGCTTTTGATTCAGTGCAGCAAACATCTGTCTGAGAACCACAGAGCCTGGAGTCAGTTCCCCCAAAAAAGATGAGGCTTGAGCATCACGAGCAACCCTTGTGAAAGCAGCAGGCACACACATGGGATGTATTCAGGACCGAGCCACGAGAAGTGCTGCAGGGCCTGAGGAGGGTGGGTGATGGTCCTGACAGGAGACATCTGAGCAAGCCCTGCCCTGGAGGGTGTCGGGGACTGGGTGAGCAGAGGAAGGCGAGCTTTCCAGGCTTCTCCCCTGTTTGTAAAGTGGGCACAGCAGTGACAAGCCTTGGAGAGTAAGTGAGGTGGTGTATCCACATGAGCTTGGCGGGGTGTCAGACCCTTTATGTCAGCACAGGTGGCCTCTGCAGGGTACTGTGGGACCAGAAATCTGATTTGAGAGTGGGGTTGGCTGGAGAATGGGTAGGGACTGGGGAGACAGGGAGCGGAGAGTCCTGGCAGGGCCCTTAGCCCGACCAGGGAGAGAGGGATGAAGGAAGAGAGGAATGATCAGGATGTGGTCCCACGTCTCCACAGGGCATTGACCTGTGCTTTCCTCCTAACAAGTTCAGTAGAGGCCGATTGAGTAAAATAAATGTCAGAGGCAGCCCGGGCTCTGGAATCAATACATACATATGGGCCTCCTGCTGTGTGCGCCCAGTGGGAAGAGGGACGCGTTGGCTCTGTGGAACATGGCGTCGATAGGACACAGAGCTGCGCGAGCTGACAACAGCGGGGCTTGCCGCACGCCGGCGTTCCACGACTTGGCTCCTGCAATTAGGCGTTTGCTTTCCCCTGAGACTCCGGAGTGAAGGTGCCGGGTAGGATGTCAGCCCTGCTCCTCTGCTGGGTGTGTCAGGCAGAGATGAGGGGGCAGGGGCAGGCAAAACCCCTGGCCCTGCTCCCTGATTTGCATATGGAAATGTGTTTGTCCAGAGTGGTGGAAGTTGCTGGCTTTTGAGTCCCTTTGAAGGGCAGAGTTCCTGGCATCAGAGTGCTTTGTGCAAGAGGCCTTGTATTGCTGATGGGTTGGATTCCACTGTGTGGAACAGGACCGCTTGTTAGCAGGAGAGCCGGCCCTCTGAGTGTTGCTGTGCGCGTTTCAGCCTCCACCAAGCAAGCTCACGGATGCCAGGTTCCTCCCAGGTCTCCTCCTGGGCCCCTCCGCCCCTTTCTCTTTGAGCGTTGCCACCACCAGCCTCCTGGAGCCCAAGGCAGAAATCTGACTTCTTCCCCGTGCCTTTCCTCCTCCACCACAGCCACCCAAGGACCAAGTTCCGTGACCCTGACTCCCAGGCAGTCTCCAGGGTCTGAACACAGCTCTCCATCTTCATCCCCACTGCCTGCATTCTGGCGACTGTTGTCTCTGACCTCAGCTGCAGCCATAGCTTCACTCAGTCTCCTCCATGGCACGGCAGCCAGGGACCTGTCTAGGATGTCCATCCAGTGGTCAGTCCTCCATGCCCAACCTTTCAGAGGCTCCCAAGCTAGCAAAGCCCAGGCTGGCCCGTGGATGTCCCTTCAGATTCACTTTCCCAGCCTCACGGCCGTGCCTATGTTTTCAGTGTGGCGTGGTTACTCGCTGTGTGGGACCGTGTTGTGTTCCTGCGGTTGCTCTGTGAGCTCCTCCTCCTCCATTTCAGGTGACACCTCCTGGAGGACTTCACCCGCCGGCGGGAGGTGCTGGTTCCTCAGGCTTCTCACTGCATTTGTTACTTGCATCTTTTAAAAAGATTTTATTTATTTATTTGAGAGGTGGAGTTACAGAGAGGCAGAGAGAGAGAGAGAGGTCTTCCATCCTCTGGTTCACTCCCCAGATGGTCCCAATGGCCGGAGCTGAGCCAATCCAGAGCCAGGAGACTCAAGCCTCTTCAGGTCTCCCACACGGGTGCAGGGCCCAAGCACCTGGGCCATCCTCCACTGCTCTCCCAGGCCACATGGGAGAGGGGAAGAGGAGCAGTCAGGACAGGAACTGGCGCCCATATGGGACTCCGCAGGCGGAGGCTTAGCCCACCACGCCACAACGCCAGCCCTGCTTGTGTTTCTGCTGCTGCCTCCCAGCAGGTGCACTGCTTCCACTCTGGGCCCCTCCTATCCATTCTCCGCACTGCAGCCAGAATCGACTCTCTCAAAGGCAAAGCCCATCATGGGCGTCACTACCACCCTTAATAGCAAGTCAAACTCCTGGCACGACCTTGCCTGTTACACCCTCCCAGGACCTACTCCTGCCAAGCCCCTCTACGTTTCAGCAGTCCCGAATCTCTTTCAAGCCCTCTACCAAGACACCTGCCCTCTAACTCTGCCTTGCATTTGCTGCTTCCTGAGTCTAGACCCTTCCCCCTGGCTCCCAGCTCTGTACCTGGCTGATTCCTACACATCCCTCAGGGGTCTGTTGAAGTCACTTCCTCCAGAAAGCCTTCCTTGAATACCTAAACTAGGCCGCGCATCTCCCCACCCACTCTCTTTCCAATTCCCTGCCACTGCCAGATTTCACTGTTTGATTAATTGGCTACTGCTCTTCTAGAATGTATATTTATAAAGTTCCTGCCTGTGTGTCTAGAACTATCATAGCAGATACGTACAGAATCGAGAGTGAGTGAATGAACGTCTCCTCCTGTTTGGCCACCAGAAGCTCCAAGTCCTAGCTAACTTAGAGTGTGTAGTGCGTGGGTCCTGCTTAGCGTGGCCAACAAATGACGGAGTGGTCAGCTCTCCTCAAGCTCGCCTATTTTGTTGTTCGTTAAAAATGCGTTATTTGTTAGAAGAAGGAGAGCTGGCCCTACAACTGGTGGTTGTAAAGCTTGGAATCCTGAGGTTGGAGAGTTTTCGCTGCTGCCTGCCCAGGGCTGGGTCCCACGCCAGGGCCCTCCTTGGGAGGCAGCGTGCGTTGGAGGCGCCCATGCTCATGCCTGTGTCCGCTTCTCCTGGCCAGAGCCTGGCCATCCAGTGGCCCCGCCGCCCCGATGGATCCCCTCAATCTGTCCTGGTACGATGAGGATCTGGAGAGGCAGAACTGGAGCCGGCCCTTGAACGGGTCAGAAGGAAGAGGGGACAGGCCCCACTACAACTACTACGCCATGCTGCTCACGCTGCTCATCTTCGTCATCGTCTTCGGCAACGTGCTCGTGTGCATGGCCGTGTCCCGCGAGAAGGCGCTGCAGACCACCACCAACTACCTGATCGTCAGCCTTGCCGTGGCCGACCTCCTCGTCGCCACGCTCGTCATGCCCTGGGTTGTCTACCTGGAGGTAGGTCTGGGCCCCACCTCCTGCTCCAGGACAGCCTGGACCCCCGCTGAGGGGCCTGGTGCTTCCCCAGGTCCTCTCCCTGCCCCCTCTCTGGGCTCCATTTTTCTCTTTATGTGATACACTGTCTCCTTAAACACCCTAGCTACCATTTCTAGAGTGCTAGGTGTTAAGTCCTTCATAGACAGCATTTTCCTGTGCAGTCCCTGGAGCAGCTCCGAGCAGCTGATGAGCCAGGTAGCCAGAGGCGTTAGGTGCCCTCTCCTGCATCACACAGCGGCCAGGGCCAGCTGGGTCTGTGTGGCCCTGGAGCTGGGCTCTAGGTCCCACTGGAAATGGGAATAGCTGGTGAGGATCACCAAGGGGAGGGCACGTTTGTGTCCCGAGGCCTGAAACCTTCACTCCTTTCCCCCCTGCTCAACACAGGGGCTGCCACTCTGTGCTCCCCTAAGCCCCTTCCCCCCCTCCAGCCTATTCCAGAGCCACAGGGCAAAGGCTGCTGTGCTTTGGGCTATAGCCCTCTCTGCTCGGCTCCTCCGTGCACTGGGAATCGGGGCGCAGACAGGCCCTGCCTGGCTAGGCACCATGCCAGGAACGTCGGCATATGGGCCCCACCAAGTGTTCGTCCCGGGACTCAGTGCCACTGCCCTCACTTTTCAGAGCAGGACACAGAGCCGCCTTCCTCCCCGAGGATGTGGTGCCCAAGGGGCAAGCCTCACATCCGGCTCTGCTGCACACGTGCTGCTGGGTTCCCACATCTGTGGATTCAGAGTAAGCAGCCCGTTCCTGCGGGAGTTTTCAGCACAGTAAATGCCCCTGTCCACTGCATTCCTGCAGAGTGCACGTGTTCTTCTGTTCTTGGGGGCAGCTGCTTCCGGGACCACAGACGCCCCCAGGTAAGGCTCGAGGCGGGCTGTTGTGGGGAAGCCCTCTGAAGGCAGGGCTGTGTCTGGATTGTGCACAGCTGTACCCGAGCGTGGCACATGGAAGTGTTTGCAGGCAAGGACGGTGCGCGGAGGGAGGCAGATACCCAGACCTGAGCATGAAAGCAATCCTAAGGGCGATTTTCGGGGCAGGTAGGCCTGGGCCCTGCTCAGGGGCCCCCAAAAGGGATACCAGGGAAGCCCCTTCTGTGCCCTCCACCCAACCAACATTGTATTTAGCCCTGCGGCCGGCCGCACTATGACTCGCAGTGGGCGCTGCCAGGTTGCAGCCACTCAGAGGGGCCCTCTGGCTCCTCGCTGTCCTATGGGGAGAAGCCAGTGATGCAGTTCCCTGCCCAGACTCTGTCCTCAGGGGTTGGCCAGGCTGCTTTGGGAATGTGTGCCTGTATCAACAGCAGGTATGGGTGTGTAGGCGTGTGTGGGGGAGTAGGGGTGAGAGAGAGAGAGAGAGAGCTGAGGCTAGGGGGTACATCCTATTCTTGCCAGGAGCTGGGCTCCTCATTTCCTGGCACTCCGAGGATGGCTGGTGGCCACTCCTGTCCCTAGCCATTGTGTGTTCCTAAAGCTGCAGCCCAGCTCCGGGTGCTACAAGGAGCAGCCATTTCTCCCCTGCTTCTTGGGGAGTCGCCATCTTCACAACTGTTCTTAACAGAGAATGTTGGGGGCCCTGACTCTGTGTCCCACATGATGGGGCTTCCCTGGCTTTCCCAGAATCCAAGCCAGTGCAGGACCAGAAGCTGAGCCAAAAGGCCCTGGGCAGGTCCCTGCCCTCCCCTGAGGCTGAGCTGGCTCGTGGGTGAAATGGGCATCCTACAGTGACACCTGGGGCTGATGTATGGAGGTGTGCCTGGGTGATGACACGGGGAGATCCGTGCCACTGAGCAACTGAGTTGTGCTGCTTCCAGTGCCCCTAGGAATGAGAGCCACAGAGGAAGCACCAGGCTTGGGGCAGAGGCAGAAGCAAAGATGTGGGGAAAGCCCTGGCCACAGCCTGTATTGAGCTTTCCAAGGGGAACTCAAGGCAGGGTGTGCTAAGCAGTTCAGGACCGGCTTGTCCAAGTCATTCTGGCATGGGCCCTTGCTGGCCAGTCCCTGGCCCTGGGGTGATGTGGCACAGGAAGTAGTAGCGTAGGATATGAGAGTTAGATAAGTGACAGTGGGTTTGCAATTGAGTCGTGCTGTCATGTAAGCTGCTTGGTGTATTCCGGAATTAGCCAGCTTTGGGAAGGGCAGTCTCTCCCTGGGTCTGTGAGCCCTCCCCCCCCCCCCCCCCCGATACCAGAGCATCAGGAGCACAGAAAACATCACTAACGTAGTTGTCCAGTGACAGACGCACGCCAACTAGACAGAAACAATCTGAGAGATCACGTGCGGCCCAGAGGTGAGCTGCTCACTTCAGGCTGCAGGTCTTAGCACACACAGTGGCTTCGTGTGTCGGGAGAGGAGAGGCCTCTCCTCCCCACTGCTGTCCCCCTCTCATCTAGGCCCCGGCTGGAAACCCACGAGCCTCCCACAGCTGTCCTTGAGCCTGTGCTTGACCTGGACAGGAGGACCTGTAACAGGACCTAAACTGCTGCCCCCTCTTGCTGTCACCTACTGCGCTGCTTTCTCCCCAGGTGGTGGGCGAGTGGAAATTCAGCAGGGTTCACTGTGACATCTTCGTCACGCTGGATGTCATGATGTGCACAGCAAGCATCCTGAACCTGTGTGCCATCAGCATCGACAGGTGAGCGCAGCCTGGGGAAGAAGTGACCCCGGCCACTCAGTGTTGCAGCTGTGCTGTCTGTCCTTAGGCCAGCCTCTGGCTGTGGTGCTGCCTGACTGGCTGTGTGCATGTGCATCTGTTTGTGTACATGCACGTATACAGTAGTGTGTGCTCTTGACTCCCTAAAGAGAGGCCACGTATGCACAGTGAGGCTACCGGAAATACCCAGACAATACCCAATGCAAAAGAAAAAGCCCTGGCTAAAGTCTTGGGTCCATCGCCTCCTACATACATGGCCTTGGGCGGGCTGGGGAAGTTCTCAGAACTCCCGATTTCCTCCTCTAGAAACCAATGACTGTGACAGCTGCTGTCCGAAGCTGTAGCAATGGGTTATGTTCCACGCTGGGCACCTGGCCAAGGGGGCTCAAGCCGTGCCCACCTGGCTAAGCTGAACCCTTGGAGCCTTTTGCTGATTTGCACAGATCTGCCATGTGGGCTCCCAGGGGCTCGTGAGGTTCTTAGATGGGTGAATCAGTGAATGGCTGAGGAGGGTTTGAGGGAGGATTGGCAACAGCTGCCATGTTGGGACTTACACCTTGTCCTGGGGAGCCTAGTTACCACCGTATCAACAAACACTTCCACCACCCGTGAGCCCAGCACAGGTGCAAAGACTCAGGCAGGACTGCCCCCCGCCCCCAAAAGCCTAAAATCCAAGTGGGAGAATTAGAATAATAGTCATGATGCAGGAGTACAGAGCAGCTGGCCAGTTCCCAGGTGCTTCATTGGGCATCACCAACTGCCCTTGCCTGCCGAGTTTGGGAAAGGAGGGAGGGTTGAGCTGGAGGGCCAGGCACGTTCCTGGAGGTGGGTCTCCTGTCCAGCCACAAGGAGCAGGGGCATCTCCGGTGCACACTGTGGAGCGAGGGGTCCCTGGGCCTGCACCCCTGACTCAGGGCCCCACCCTTGCAGGTACACAGCTGTGGCCATGCCTATGCTGTACAACACACGCTACAGCTCTAAGCGCCGAGTCACCGTCATGATCGCTATCGTTTGGGTCCTGTCCCTCACCATCTCCTGTCCGCTGCTCTTTGGCCTCAACAAAACGGGTGAGTCCTGCCTTCATCTGCCTGGAATTGGTGGCCCCGGGCCTTTGCCTCTGCAAAAGCTGGAGGGGCCCGAGTCTGTGGATGGAGGCCCAATGGGAGCCCATTTGCCACCTGGACGGAGGCCAGGCTGGGTCTCCTGAGCCAAACCCAACTCAGAGTTGTTGCAGGTTGGGCCAGAGAGAAGCCAACAGCCTGGGGCACAGTGGTGTTGGACGAAGAATGGGGATAATGGTTCAGGAGGATGTCTGGCCATTTTCAACTTTGCTTATTCAATTGAAACAAGCTAGACAGGCTCACACACTGAATATGTGTGTGTGTGTGTGTGTGTGTGTGTGCGTGCACGCACACACGCTGAGGCCAAGCCAGGCCTGGGCTGCTGGGAAATTTGGAAACAAGTGGAGGTGAGCCGACCACATCCCATTCCTGGGAGGCACAGCCAGAGCACCTCAGACAGCAGAGACACAAAGCACCTGTCACTGTGGAAATTCCTCTCGTCGGGGAAATGAGAGCAGTGCAGGTGCGCCTTGGGACAGTGGGGGACATTGTGCCTTGACAGCACATGGCTGGAATCCCAAGAGGTGGACCCAGGGCTGAATACGCTTCAGCTGACCTGGGAAGGCCCTGAGCCAGAGGACAGACCTCTGGTAGACCTGAAGGGCACAGGGAAATGGGATGCAGGAACACACGTTGAGTTCAGCCAACAGGACCAAGCTAGTTTGTTCCTGAAACTGAGAGGCGGCAGGCCTCTGCCCAACAGACAGGAAAGGCGAAAGTCAGGGTTTTCTGTCCCTGGAGTAATTTTCCTGTGTCGTTGCTTCTGGATCCCGTGGTCCCACTGGTGTGCCTAGAGCTAGAGGCACTAATGACCCAGTCCTGAGGAACAGTCCCGTTAGCTTCCCGGCCTGCTTTGGGCACACGCGCGTGTTTGACGTCCAGGCACTCGTGAGCACGGAGTCACCTCCTGCTGATGCCTGCCCCCGGCTGGCCGGGCTCTCCCTCCCGCAGACCAGAATGAGTGCATCATCGCCAACCCCGCCTTCGTGGTCTACTCCTCCATCGTCTCCTTCTATGTGCCCTTCATCGTCACCCTGCTCGTCTACATCAAGATCTACATCGTCCTGCGCAAGCGCCGTAAGAGGGTCAACACCAAGCGCAGCAGCCGAGCCTTCAGGGCCAACCTGAGGGCCCCGCTCAAGGTCCTGCCGCCCTCCCCCCAGCCCTCCCCAAGCCCTAGAACGGAGGGGGCGTGTCGCGTGCGCAGGTTGGGGCTGGGACATGGCTGACCCAGGGCTGGAACTCAGCGGAGGGGCAGGTGGGGTCCCTGGGGGTGCCAGCTCCAGGAGAAGTCTGTGCTCGGGATTTTTGCCACTGCAAGCGGCAGCTCCTGCTGGGCCCCTTCTTCTCTCCCTCTTGCCCCAGCCTCTCCTTCCTGGCTCTGCCCTCTCCCTCTCTTCCCCTCTCCCTCCTCCATCCTGGCTCCCTTGCCTGCCACGCTCTCTGCCTGCCTCTCCAAGTACCCCTGTTCCTGGCACCCACTCCTTTCCCACTTCTCTTTTCTGCTCCTCTCTCATCACCCCCCTCGCACGCCTTGTGACTTCTCCCCTCCTCTCCGCCCTCCCCGAGGACGACAGCATGGGGGTAAGGAGGGAGCTTTGGGTTAGACACGTCAGGTTCACATCCTGCCGCTGCCACTCTTCTTTTTGTTGCTGAGTAGCCTTGGGCAAGTTGCTTGCCTTCTCTGAGCCTCAGTTTTGTCATCTGTTCCCTGGGCATCGCAATGCCGACCTCACGGAGTGGTCTTGAGAATTCGATGTGAGCGTGCCTGGCCTGGTACCAGCCCCGAGCAGGCGCACATCCAAACCACAGCCTCTTGTCCCTTGTCTGTGGCCCAGCTCCTGCCTCTGGCCCCTGCCCTCCTGATCTCCTAGCCCCTGTTCCTGGCCCGAGTTCTCCATGGCCTATCCCGCCTTGGGTTTCTGTCCCCCGCCTCCCACAGCCCTGTCCCCTCCCCACCTCGTGTGACCCGTGTGCTGGCTCACTCCACAGGGCAACTGTACCCACCCCGAGGACAGGACACTCGGCACGGTTATTATGAAGTCTAATGGGAGTTTCCCAGTGAACAGGCGGCGAGTGGTAAGTGTGCAGGCCAGGGACCCAGAGCCAGCTCTGTCCCCCGCCAGGGCCAGGACTCAGACCTCAGCACCTCCCACATCCCCTCCTCTGCCTCGGTCAAGGGCAGATTCACCAAGCATACCTCCATTCTGTAAGGCACAGTAGGTGCCCAAGCCCAGGCAGATGGTTGGGAGAGGGGACACTGCCAGCCTAAAACAAAAATATAATAACAGCTTCTCTCATTCCTCTGACACCTGCCGTGTTCCCATTATCTCATCGAATCCTCACCAAGGCCCCTGGAAGGCTCATCTTGTTGTTCCCATCAATCTCCGTTCACTGAAGTGGCGGCCGAGGCTCAGAGAGGCACAGTAACTGGCCCAAGCCTGGACAGTTAGTGAGAGAGTGCGTGCTTGAGCCCAGACCTACGTGACCCCACAACCCTGCCCATTTCCTTTTCCCCGGCAGGTGCTGCCGTACAGACAGGCAGGTTCTGGGGCTGGAGGCTGGGAACCGGGGGAGGCTGGAGTGGAGCAGCTGTGGCGGGTGGGTGTGAGGCACACCCTGGAAGCAGCACCCAGAGGCACCGTATGACAGCGAACCCCCAAGCTTTGCTGGGTCCTGGTAGCACCAGGGTCCAAGCAGTAGGTGTTCCATCACCTATCAGGAGTAGGAACCTTTATTCTGCCAAGGGTCATTTGGATATTTGTAACATCATTCGCGGCCACACAACTTTATCAACTTTAAAATGAGCCTGCTGTAGCCACTGAATTTCTGGTCCTGCCTGTGGCTGCCTTGACAAGGCCAGACCAAATGACATTACAGGCTTTATATGACGTTCCCCATGCAGCCCAGGTGGACAGGGAGCCAGGGGCCCCAGGGGCCATACATGAAGTCAGGCCAGGTGTCTAGGCTGAACTCCAGCTCAGGCTGAGACCTCTAGGGGCACAAGCAGGAGAGCCTTGGGAAGACGCTGGAGGAGTGGAGTGAGCCATGCCAGGGCCCTCCAGGACAGACCAACGAGGGGGACACAGGGTCTCAGGGGCCAGTCCCCCAGCACCTGGTTGGGTCCCACCAGGCAAATACGGAGCGCTGTGCATTCGCTGGTGCAGGCAGGAGCTCTGGGCCCCAGGTTTCAGTGGGGCAGGAAGAGGCAGAGGCAGCGTGGATGTCCTCTGTGCTGTTAGAACAGGAGTCAGGTGTATGTCCCTGGCAGCCAGCTTGGCACCTGCTCTTAGCTGGTGCTCAGGTAAGGAAGGAGACGTGCTTGGGTACCAGGTCCCCTCGGAATGCCGGCAGGTGTAGAAGCTGCCTGGAGGCTGCTCTGGGAGAGACAACCCCGCAGGGATGATCCCCACCTTCCAGTGCTCACCCACTTGGCCTCCACGGCGAGGTGACCTTGCGGTGTTTGCAGGAGTCTCCAGAGGGGGAGAGGGATGGCTGGGCGGCTGACGCCTGGGCACTTGCCTGGCTTTACCCAGAGCTCTCTGCTCCTGGTGCAGGAGGCTGCCCGCCGAGCCCAGGAGCTGGAAATGGAGATGCTGTCCAGCACCAGCCCACCCGAGAGGACCCGGTACAGCCCCATCCCGCCCAGCCACCACCAGCTGACCCTCCCTGACCCGTCCCACCACGGCCTCCACAGCACCCCCGACAGCCCTGCCAAACCGGAGAAGAATGGGCACGCCAAAGACCACCCCAAGATTGCCAAGATCTTTGAGATCCAGACCATGCCCAATGGCAAAACGCGGACCTCGCTCAAGACCATGAGCCGCAGAAAGCTCTCCCAGCAGAAGGAGAAGAAAGCCACCCAGATGCTCGCCATCGTTCTCGGTGAGTCAGCCGGGGGCCGCCCTGGCTGGGGTGAGAACCGGCGGCTGCTGGTCCTACTTGCTGCCACGCCCTTCCTGACCGTGGCTGGGAGGTCGTGGGCTCAGTGCTTTCAGAGGGACAGCCAAAGCCGCGGGTGAACAGGCAGCTGGGTTAGGGAGGTTGTGTAGTTGTACTCATTTTACAGACGGGCAAACTGAGGTGCAGAGGGATTCCGTGTCCCCAGGCAGGTCACCTTCCCTCTCTAGTCTCTCTGTCCGTAGGGTAAATTACTTCTCAGGGTTGTTGTGTCGTCAGAGGCTTAGTGAAAACATTTTATCAACCAGAGAGCAGTGCACATAGGTCAGTGTTGTTACTACTGATTGTTTTGGGGAATTAGGAAATTCAGTTCATTTGCACTCAGTCCAGATACTGTAGGACCAGAGAAGTGGTCCCTGATCTAAATGAGGGAGCAGCCCTGTTCACCAGGCAACTTTTGAAGAAAAGCCTAGAAAACCACATAATAAAGGTAAAACGTCAAGGAGTGGACTGATGTGGGTGGCTGGGGAGGGAGGGACCAGTGTGACGGCCTTCCCGACAGCACCCATGATCCCCTGGGCTCACCCAGCCGCCCTGGCATGAGAGGGGGCAGGTGTCTCGTCCTCATTTTGTGCACGAGGGCACGTGGTCCCAGCATGATCACGTGGCGGGCACGTGGCAGAGTGGGATTAGTGGGCTGTGCTCTGTGGGTCTGCTTCCCCCAGGCTCGCCTGCACAGGTGCCTCCTGTGCCTCCATGCCGAGCGTGTCACCCGAGCAGATCTTGGGGATCTTGGGGAAAGCGCAGCTGAGTCAGACGAGCAGAGCAGGAGGGAGGTCGGGGTGCAGTGTGGGGGAGGGCGTGGTCCCGAGGCAGGGGCGTGCAAGGGCGCACCCACTGAGGCCGGGGAAATGGAGGAAAGGCCAGAGCACAAACTGGGCCATCTGGGGACCCAGACAGACTGGAGTCCTTCATTGCTGCAGGGCAGAGGGACCTTGGGTGTGTGGCAGAGCCGTGGGCAGCCCCACTTCCCCCCGTGCGCCATGAGGACACTGTGAGAGCCAAGCGAGAGGGGTGTTCCGTGCTCCCTTTCCCCAGGAGTGAGCGTCGTGCTGCCGGGACCCATGCCCTTCCCTGTTAGCTTAGGAGGAAGACAGGGCTCTCAAGGCAGCCAGGACGCCAAGCGGGTGTTCCCACGTCTGCTGGCTGACTTGGGTGAGAGCGGGCGCCTGTAGGATTCGTTTTCAAACCCCCAGTCCTTCCTTAGGAGGCAGGTCTCATTGTACCCATCAGACAGCCCAGGAAACAAAGGCTGATGGAGGTGATGGGACCGTGTCCTGCAGCTGGATGTCAGAGGCAGGTGTAGAATCCAGGACCGGGACCCCCCTTGCCCGTCTCGTGGTGCTCCCGCAGCTGCAGCCGGCAGCCCTGGTGCCTGGGGCGGGCCTGGGGACCAGCCTGACCCTGCCCTCCCCCGCCCCCAGGCGTGTTCATCATCTGCTGGCTGCCCTTCTTCATCACCCACATCCTGAACATACACTGTGACTGCAACATCCCGCCCGTCCTGTACAGCGCCTTCACGTGGCTGGGCTACGTCAACAGCGCCGTGAACCCCATCATCTACACCACCTTCAACATCGAGTTCCGCAAGGCCTTCATGAAGATCCTACACTGCTGATCCTGCGCCCGCCTGCCCGGCAGCCTGCTCCCCCTGCCCAGGCTGCCAGGCCTCTTCCCTCCCCGCCGTGGGCAGGAAGGCCAGGGGTAGGCTCAGCCTTCTCCCCATCCCGGCAGGCCCTGCAGTGTTAGCTTGGCTCCGTGCCCCTCTCTGCCCACATGGCCCCCACCCTGCCAGGTAGGGCGAGGGGGCTGGGCCCCTGGCACAGGGGCAGCTCTTGGCATCCTCCTACCACCGGTCCCCTGTTTCCTCGGCACCAAAGATGCAGCCATCTTCCTTGGCCTTCTCTGGGACTCCGGGGTCGCCGGGACGAGAGGCAGGGCTGCAGGGCTGCAGGGCTGAGTGCTGTGTGTTATAGGGCCCAGCCTGGTCTGTGCAGGAGCAGGCGGTGGGGAGACATGGACAGCTCACGCCCCACAAGGCGTACTCTGGGGAAGCAAGAGCTCTGCCAAGGCTCCAGGCAGCAGGAACCCTAGGGAAGCCCAAGCTGAAATCAAGTCCCTGCCCCACCCCCTCGTAGCTGCCCTCACCTCGAGGGGCCCCACAAGGGTCTGTGGGGAGAGGAGCTCCTACTGATGCTCTCTGCTACCCACTGACAGCCCTCAGAAACCCCCCTTCCCACAGCAAATGCAGGGCAACTTGGGGCAGGCAGGGACTTGGACCTGGGACCCACGTGAGGGCCTGGGCTGGCGGCGTCTGAGGTTCACGGGGCTCCTGCCACACGCTGATGCAAAACCACTCTCCTCCTGTGGCCCTTCCGGTTCCTTCTGGCCTCTTCTCTCCCCTTCCCTTCCCTTCCACTGCCTCTGCCTTAGAGGAGCCCACGGCTAAGAGGCTGCTGAACACATTTGGCCTGGCCTGGCCCTGCCCTGAGGGAGGAGGAGGGGAGGCTGCAGCTTGGGGGGGAGCCCCGGGCCCCAGACTCTGTAACATCACTACACATGCACCAAACGAATAAAACTTGGACCAGAGTCGCTCTCGACAGGGGTGCAGGGGCCGTGCTGCCGCATCCTCAGCGTTCAGGCGTGGCCAGGTTCCTGTGTGCGGCAGGTGTCCCTGCGTCTCCAGGCCTCAGTGCTTCTGAAGGGCCAGTCCTTTGCCTCTCTGCCCCACCAGGCAGAGGTGGAAAAAGTAGCCCTGCAAGTGCCACTTTCCTGTGCCGGCTTTGTCCCTGTCGCGTCTTCTGTCTGCCGTCAGACCCCTTTGCTCTGGGGCCAGCTGGGGGAAGCAGGTGAGGCTGAGCGCTGTGGCCTGGGCAGCTCTTTCTGCTCTTGGCCTCCTGGCCACTCAGCAGCTGCAAGCCTCCTGGGCTCCAACGTGGAAGTGCCCAGACGGCAAGACTTGGGCTTTGTAAAGATGAAACATCAGTCGTCCACCTGGCGAAGCAGCGCCACTCCTGCCACCTTGAGAACAGCAGTGGTGACAAACAAGGTGGCGGCTCCCACGGGCTCAGGCTGCGGAGAGCTGTCAGGGCATAATTTGCATGCTAAATACAGTATTTTTAGCACTGGAGTTTGGAGCACTTAACTTGCCCTGAACATTTAATTATGGACTTTGATCTTCCCCCTGAACCTGAGTATAGCTCAAAGCTCGGGGAGAGGTTCCTGTCCCCAGAAGCACCCTGATTTCAGAAGGTGGGCAAAACAGGCCCCTCGTTTAGCTCGGGCCAGGGGGAGGGGCGGTAACCCAGTGACCGCCTCTGGCAGAGACCTCAGACCTCTAAGGGGACTCGAACTCCCAGGGCCTTCTCAGTTGGTGGTGCCCAACCTATAAGCTACACACACACACACACACCATGCTCCAGTCTGAGAGCTTGCACACGCGCACATGGACACACACACACACACACACATACACACACACCATGCTCCAGTTTGTTCAAGAGCTTGCCCTGGACTGGAGCTAATAAGCTCATCTCATGGTTAAGAATCTTTTCAGGGCAGGAGTTTATCAGCTGTGCGACTTGGAAGAGATGACACAGGGAGGCCTGGAGAGGGAGAGATGGAGGGAGCAGAGTGAGAAGAGCCCTGACAGCGAGCGAGGGGAAGAGGGCAGGGCAGGGGCGGGAGGCGGGGCCGGGGAAAGTTGCCCACAGTTGTCACGGGGCTTCAAGTCTTTCTGCCAGACAGCAGATTGACAGCTCAGTGGGCAGGGGGAGGGCTGGGCTCCACCCCCTCCCCCTTCAGCATTTCAGGGGCAAAGGAATGGGAGGAGGGGGATCTGCGAACACGGGGGTGGAAGGCGGCGGCCCAGGCTCTGGCTCCCTGCGGGCGAGGGTGGAGGGGACGCCCACCACGCATTCACCCCTGGCTGCCTTTCCCTGGGTTCGTGTCTGCGGCGTCTCTGCACAGCACCCTTTCTCCGGAGGCCGCTCTAGTGCCCTTGCAGTGGGGGGCGTCGGCAGCTCTCCCACCCTGCCCCGGCCTGGCTCCTGGGTGCATTCGTGCTCTCAGATGGGACTGAGGAGCTGGCCTGGCTGCGACTGCCCGTCCTCACCCACACTGGATGTGGAGGAGGCCCAGGCGGCCATGGCGGGGGAAGAGGCCGTGGGCACTGAGAAAGCAGGTGGTCCAGCAGGTCCAGCAGGCTGAGAAATGGCCCCACTTCCTCCATGTGTCCCTGAGTGTGTGCTGATGGAGCAACAGTTGCATTCCAGGCCCCGGGCGAGGTGCCGGGGCAGGTGGTGGTCCTGATGCCTTCCTTTATGGGTTCGCAGTATGATGGGATGACAGGCAAAGAGCCAATAATGGCATAGTTATGCCAGCGCTCTGCTTCTCCCCTCCAGGGCCCTGGCTAGGTGTGGGGACCGTGGCCAGGGCCTGGGCGAGGACTGCAAGGCACAGGCTTGCTCTGCTCAGCTCCAGGCACTCTTCCTGGGTGACGTGGGGTGCCTTGGCCTTGAGCAAGCAGGTGACGAGGCAGCAAGGGCAAGAAGACTGGCAATGTGGAGAACTTCCTGCGAGGCCGGGGCAGGAGAAGCTGGAAGAAGCAGCTACAGATCCTGCCTCCCGGCGGTCTCACAACAGGAGCAGTCACCTACCAGCTAGAAGCAGCCTGGCAGACTGGCCTGCCTCGCACTTCCGGGACCCCACCGGTCTAGGACCCTTTGTCAAACCATCCCTGCCCCGGGGACTGCCCAGCTGCCTTCACCTGCCAGCCCAGCCCTCCTGTGCCCCGCCCCCCCACCCCACTCACTGCCTCCCCCAGTCCAGGACCCAGGCTCCGGCTGTGACTTCAGCACCCACCTATGCAGGGGCCTTCAATGAGTTCCTGTTCTGCTCCTGCTGGGGAGGCGGAGGGGAGAACCATTGCTGTCATCTCCACTCCTGGGAGATCCTTTCCTACAGGGAGCGTGCTCTGTCTGGGGCCGGGCTGGCCGTGACTCCACGTCTTGTAGCACTCAGTCCAGCGCAGCTCTTAACCAGCCCAGAGTACAGTTGGAGGAGGCTGGTGTGATCCGAAGATTGGTTTTGAAAAGAAGAGAGAAGGAAAAGCTGTAGGGGACAAGACCTTGACTGTCGCGCTGTAGGGATGCAGGCAAGCAATGGTTGCTGCCCCAGCACAGGCGTGTAGGGGAGTGGGGTTGGGATGCAGCCAGTGGAGCTTCAGGAATCTGAGGGTCCTCTCCTGGCAGCAGGTGTCTCTGGCTGTGCCACACCCAGGTTGTGTGAAGCGGAAGTTGGGGGTGGGAGGGGCAGGTCATCTTTGGAGTCTGGAGACCCATGCTGGAGGGCTGAGGGGCGGCAGAAGGGGGTGTTTGGTAAGAGTACTTTTTCCTTTCCTCCTGCTTCCAAGTCCTGTACTTGGCAAATACAAGGCCGCACCACAGCAGGGGCTCGTGGTGTCCCAAGAGTAGGGGTGCGGTGAGAGTTGCTGGACAGAGCCCTGGCCAGGGGGCCATTGGTTGGGAAGTCCACAGTATTGCTGTCCACCTGCTACACTTGGTGCCAGCTTTCCCATAGTCAACACCTGACCTCTGAGATGGGGGATGTGCTGAGGCCAGGGCGAGGGGGCCAGCCCCCCGGCACCTCGGGGTCGTGGTTGAAGGGAAGGATGGTGGCCAGGGGAGGGGAGGCAGGTGGCACCGTGGGGGTGGGCAGGGCCTAGGGAAGGGCTGTCCATGCCTTCTGTGTTTTCCTGGCTTAGTGCAGCTCTGAGTGTCCTGTCCTGTCACTGCTGGGAGTTCACAGATGGGGAAAGAGAGGCATTTGGTGGCCAGGCTCAGTGCTGCCTCCAGGGCTGGGAAAGCAGAGAGAGGGCAAGCCCGCCTGCAGGAGGCACGTCCATCATCTAGTTTCCCCCACACAGGTGTCCCCCGCACAGGTGCTCTGATCTGGAGTCTGGAGTGGGAAAAGCTGAGCCACAGATGGGAACCCAGCCCCTTCCTCCCACCAAGCCTCAGGTCCCCCCTGGCCTCCTCTCCCTCCTCCTCCTCTTCTCTCCAAGTTGCTGGCTTCACCTGCCACCTCCCACCTGTGTGTGCACAGCCCTTTGCCCATCTGAAGGCTGAGCAGAGCCTAAAAGCAGCTCATTGGCCTCAGACCCTCCTGCTCCCGTCGGTGCAAACATGGCCCGTTTGCTTTGCTTGTGCTGAACCCGCACCTGGCTCTTAGGGCTCCAGGTACCAGCATAGTCTGTGTATCACCCCCACTGTGTCCCCTGCAGCTTGCCTGGCACCTGTCTCAGTGTCACAGCCCACCCTAAAGCACAGAAGTGCAGTCTCTCCCGCATTCCCCGAGTGCAAAGGAAAAGAGGCAGCTGTTCCCAACAGCATCCTCACCAAAAGGCTGTGTAGTCTGGGCCCTCGTCCAAGAGGAAACTTCCTCAGGACTCAGAAAACCTGCAAGAAATGTATGGGCTGGGTGCTGCCTTGCCCTCCGACCGGCGTGGCACCAGACTGATTCCAGCACACAGTGAGAGAAGATCATCTCTGCTACATGACGCAGACAAGGCTGAGCAAGACAGCCAGCCACACCAGAGATCCGTCAACGAGTGGGTGGCACCTAGGCCTGCCTGCCTGGCTCCCTCAACCCAGCCTCCCAGAGCCCCTCCCCGCCTCCGCCAGCAAAACCCCTACCCCTACCTCCCAGACTCGGACTCGGCAGGTATGGATGGAGCACCTTCCAGGCACCGAGAGGACTGGGTGGAATGCGGAAGTGAGTAGCATGTGGGGACGTGGCGGGCATGGAGCCAGAAAGGCAGGGCAGGCGGCAGCCCTTGAAGCTTCACTGTCCAGGGTGCTGGCACCGAACACCCTTGAGGTTCGCAGCAGGGCAAGCAGGGAAGGCTTCCTGACAGAAGCAGGCGAGCTGGATCCCCTGTGCCAAGTGCCCACCCCACCCCACTTTGGGACACTAGGGGTGTAAGCGCTCCATAGGGTCTCCAAGTGAAGATGCCCAGTAAGAAATTGGGGGTCTCTAGCCTCCCTGCTGCCCAGCTACCGTAAAGGGGGCTCACAATTCAGCTGGAGACCACTCCCTGGGAACATCCAGAGCCTCATTAGAAGCCTATTTTATTTTATTTTATTTTTTTGACAGGCAGAGTGGACAGTGAGACAGAGAGAAAGGTCTTCCTTTTCCATTGGTTCACCCCCCAATGGCCGCTGTGGCTGGCACACCGCGCTGATCCGAAGCCAGGAGCCAGGTGCTTCTCCTGGTCTCCCATGGGGCGCAGGGCCCAAGCACCTGGGCCATCCTCCACTGCACTCCCTGGCCACAGCAGAGAGCTGGCCTGGAAGAGGGGCAGCCGGGACAGAATCCAGCGCCCTGACCGGGACTAGAACCCGGTGTGCCGGCGCTGCAAGGCAGAGGATTAGCCTAGTGAGCTGCGGCGCCGGCCCAGAAGCCAGTTTTAAACATCCTGAGAAGAGCCCCGGGAGGCAGCATGTTAAAATAGGGCTTGAGGTGGCTAATGTGCGTGTGTGTGTGCGTGTGTGTGTGTGTGTGTCTGGCGAGGGTGGCTTGGGAAGGGAGAGGCGGTGCTAGCAAGTCTAGAAGCTGCCCCTTGACCCTAAGGGCGCGGCTTCTGTTCTCTCTTGGAAGAGGGGAGCAGGGGTCTGAGCAGAGATGGCTCCCAGGGACTTTCCTGTCCACGTCCCCAAAGGATCTCTCCATTCCCGGACAGCGGGTGCCAAAGGATCAACCGCCTTTCCAACCCGTTTCTTCAAGACCTCAGACGCTTCCCAAATGGAGAGCACGCAGGGCTGACCACTCTCCCGCAGGCTGGAAGTAAGCAGTCCCAACTCCCCTGTCCCCGGCTCACACAGAGCCCTAGGCTTGAACCTAGACTCAGACTTCAGGGTCAGGGAGTAGCAAGCCGCCCCCTGCCCCCTCCTGCTGGCGCCTGCTCTGGGAAAGAACTCTCAGGGGGGCATTTGTAACTGCAAGTTCCGCCCCAGGCTGTCTCAGGAAGAACAAAGAGACTGGGCCAAGCGCCTTAGCAGGGAGTGGGAATGGAACCACCGCCAAGGGCCTGCAGCTTCCAGTCTTCAGGCTTTCCCACCCGTCCAACCTGGCAAGGAAAAGACACACACACACACACACACACACACCCGCCACAGTACTGGCCAGGGTCTGTCTCCATGACTGCGCTAGGGAAGTTGCGCAGAGAATCCAAGGCACGCCCCCTGGTGGCGGTTCTCAGCCCGGGCACCTGAGTTAACGTTAATGACAGGGTAGGATCCCATGCTGGAGACTCCGGTGTGATTGGTGGGGAGCTGGCTCGAACTGGTGCATGTGAAAAGCCCCCCACCTGGGAGAGTCTAATGTGCAGCTCACCTTGGAACTGCTGTCCTAGGACACAACCCAGCTGGTGCTGCTTGCCGACGCACTCCTGGCTTCCCTTGGCAGCTGCAGGCTATGGCAGGGTGGGGTGAAGTGCTCAGGGCCCTACAGGCTGGAGCCACGGTCCAGAGGCCACAAGGACAGGGGACACAATGCTGCTGGTCTGCTAAAAAGGACTTAACGCACTGAACACCTGCCACACCTCTCACCCTGCGCCGATGCCGGGCTGCTGACAGGCCCCTGCTCAGCCTGGACGGGAGAGCCACATGAAGGTGGGCCTGCCGGCTGGCTCTGGGTCAGAACTGGCCAAGAGTAGGAGCAGATGAGCCCTCGCTGACCATCCTTGGGTTGGAGGGGCTGCTTTCATCGTGCTGTCCAACAGCCTGGACAGGCAGAGGGGGGCAGGCCAGCACCCCAGGACATCTGTCCTGCCTTCACCCCTCCCACAGCTGGTACCCACCAGCCACCTAGCCACAGCCTCGGACACACAAGGTTAGTGTGGGCAGCCCCAGCCCTGCCCACAACCCCAGGCCAGGCGAGGTCAGCTGACGGATGACTGATGTGGCGCAGGGACTGTTCACCAGGCATGGCTGAAGAGAAGCGAGCCTACCCTGTGACATCCCAGGCCTGAACACCGCCCTTGCAGCTCCCTCTGCTGTCCCCCGCCCTGTGTGAACTCACACACATGTAATACAGCTCGCCAGACAGCTCCCACACGTGTGCGCATGCACACACACACACAAATAGTGCACAGATCAACCTGTATGCAGAGGGACGCTCTGATCCACAGCTGCACTGACTCCAGGCTGAAGCCTGGTAGCACAACTGCACCCAGGGAAGGGCAGGACTGGGGGCCAGGAACCTCGTGTCTCATTTGAGATCATAAATCCACAGCAGGGGCCACACCCTGATCTCACAAGAAAACCATGTGGGAGAGCAGTCATTGGGATGAGGGTCCCTGGGAAGGGGAGGGTGGTCACGGTGGCAGCAGTGGCTGGCCAGGGCCTTCGGCAATGGGCAGGTCTGACAGCTCTGAGGCCCTTGGAGCAAAGCACCTGCCTCTGGCTCCCTTGCTCCAGCCTGAGATGTGGGGCCTGAGCTGGGAGGAAGACACTTCCCAGGCCTCTGTGGTCCCTTGGTCTTGGTGGGAGGCATCCTAGGATTCAAGAAACCCCGTGAACTTAGGTGAAAGGTGGCAGGAGCCTTGGGGAGCAGACGGAGTTCACGCTGGAGATGAAGTTCATGCAAGAAGCATCTGATGATGAGAAAACAGCGTCCCCAGCTCCAGCCTCCGTGGTTCCTCTCCCCACCTTGCATCACCCAGGAGGCCAGGTCCCGTTCGCCCGCAAGGCCTAGGGTGAGGGTGAGAGCAGAGGGGAAGGGCCAGCTTCCCTTCCACCACCCCCTCCCCTTCCAGGCAGGACACCCCAGGTTGTCCAGACCTCCAGGGAGAAGGCCACCGTGCTTTTGGTTCTGGAGGGCAAGCTGCAAGGCCATCCTGCCTCCACCGTGTATGGCCAGCACTTTGAGGATGGCTGTGGTCCCCTTGAAGGCAACCAGGTGTAGACGCCTACACAGTGCTCCAAGAGGTTGAAGGCACTGGGAAGGTGCCCCCCAGGATGGGCGGGTGGAGTGGTGTGCAGCCGGCCTCCTCAGCAGCACTGGCATCAGCTCCACACTACAGCAGTGCAGACGCCACTCTTCCTCCCCGGGGCAGGTAGCCAGGTGCAGCAGTGTCCAGTTCAGCCTCCAAGAGGACCCAAGTCTATGTGGCTCTCAGCCAGCAGGTGCACGACCTCCAGGGGGCCCTTGTAGGCTGCTAGATAACGGGACATCAAGTCCTTCTGGGTGGGCAGCTTGCGGCTGGCCTCATACCTACGACACATCTTGCAGATAAGGTACTTGCCCCAGCAGCTGCAGAGTGCAGTGGGTCCAGAGGACCCTGTTGCCCCACTCTTCAGCAGGTGTGGGATGGCCCTCTCCACATACCACTGCCAGGTGCATGGCGTCCTCAGGTGTCTCTGCGGAACATCTGGCTTAGCTCCCCCCGGCCAGCCTGCAGCTTGACAAGGCTGACATGAGTGAAGCAGGCGTGCCCTGTGGAGCGGAGTCTTGCCCTCCGTCTCACACAAGCTGGGGTCTGCTGTTTGGGAAACCAGAAGCTGTGCCACATTTCCCAAGTTGCGTGTGGTCAGGTGCCACAGGGCCCGGTCCTTATGTTCCATGAGAGGCGGGCGGTGTGGTCGTCCCCGTCCTGGGCCACAAAGTGCAGTGGGGCAAGGCTCTCCTCCTCCTTAGGAAGCAGGTGGAGCGCACAGGCTGCTGGGACTGTGTGGCGATGGGGGGCGGGGTGGGGCATGTAGCTGGAGGCTTGTGGCGCTGTGTGGCGCAGCCCCACTGACCCCATAGCAGACTCCCTGGGCCAGCAGGGAGTGGAGGGGACAGACCTGGTTCCAGTAGATGCTCAGCTCCTCACTGCTTAAGACCAAGCACTCGCTGTCTGCGAGCTGTAGGACCTGTTTCCAGTAATCCCCGAAGTCTGCTGGGAAGACAATGAGGTCAGAGAAAAGGACCTGTGACCTATCTAGAGGTCATCGTGGCCATCCTCCTGCAGGAACTACCCAGACTAGAGGGCAAGGATAATACCTTTCCTGCATCACAGATCTCTGCCCACTCATTGCTGCTATGCACAACAGAGTCCAGCCTGAGCGGTCTTGGAGTACCGTGCGTGCAGCTGTATTGCACTGCTGAGGCGGGAAGAGCCGCGGGCTCAGGAGGCGTGAGAGAGGTCCTGGCTCCTGGCATCAGCCAGTTCCCAGCCGCTTTGGTCTTCCATACCCAGTTCAGGGGAGGGGGGTGACTGACGCCCAGCTCTCTCTGCCCTGTGAGGACAGATTATGTAGGGGAGAACTGCAGAGGAGCGCCTGGGGCCAGATCAGGAAACAACTCAGGCTGGGAAATGAATTTGTGGCTGGAGCTCTGTGATTTTACGCTTTCCCTGAGGGCTGAAGGCCCCACCGTCCCCTGCTCCACGCACTGGCCCACGATGCAGATTCTGAGTTAATTAGCCTGGGGGAGGGGGTGCAGAACACACCGCTGTTTTGTTTTTAATTTCCTGAGTTTTTCCAACAAGCAGCCAGCCTTGAGACCCAGTGCCCTACCTTTCAATCCTCTCTCACGCAAAGACCAGAGGGGACGCAGATGCAGGTCCCCCCTACCAGGGACACGCTTGGAGGGTCTGGGAGAGGGAGGGGACTGGGGAGGGTAGAGGAGGGTACCATTGATTCCACCGTCTCCTTTGCTGTGGATTCCCTGGTCCCCCCAACATCATGGCACTTACGTCTCACCACTGTCCATTGGCTCCTGGCTGGCCCCGGAAGAAGAGACAGAAGACACAGGTGGTCTGTGCTAGCCCTGTGCGCCCCTGCCATCCCACCCGGTCCCGGGAGATCCTCCTCCTGTGCCATTGCGCTTCCTGCTGTGTCTACAGGAAAACCTCAAATAGGGGAGGTGACCCAGGGCCTCGCCTCCCTGGTGAGCTGTGCAGACGGCAGGGTGAATATGGCACCCCCATGCTTGGCTGGTTGCCAAGGCAGTTTAGGGACAGGAGAGCGAGGGGTGGTGCTGATGTTCTGGGTGAAGTGAACATATTATTACCTTGTTCCTCATCTCACATAGAGGAAGAACTTCCAAGCAGAGAAATTTAAAAGCAAGATTTATTAGAGTCAAAGACCTCCAAGCCAAAGAGGCATGGAGGGGGCCTCCAAGGTAATATCAGAGTACGAGGTGCCATTAATGTTACTGGGTGCTTATTAAAAATTTTGGAATATTAATAAGCATTGTAGGTTCTTGCCTAATATTCAGAGAACTGTGAATACTGGCATAAATGAACGAGGCAGCATGATAATTTTTGGGCTTTATATTCAGTGAGAGAAGGGGAGTGAGGGCCCTACCTAAGAAGGAGGGGAAGTCTGGACTCATCCCGGCAGCCGGGGCAGCCACCTGGAGGAGCACGCAGGCCAGGAGGCACAGGCGGGTGGCCCAAAGGCGCGGGCACAGCAAGGACCCACATGGAGAAAGAGGCAAAAAGGCCAAAAAGGGCCGGGCCCACCCCGTCTCAGGCCATTAATCCATTTCCAAAGGGGCGTGGTTAATTAGCCTGATTGGTGGTGGACACACAGGTGAGGTCACACAGGGGGCATGGTGAAGGCGTGGTCTTCCAGCTCACAGACCTGATCAATTTTATCCTGTATGTCTGCCTACAACAAAGGGAAGAAAAAAAAACCGGAAGTGGCTGGTGGTAGTGGGGTTTTTAAGCACAATTTAAAAAAAAAAAGAAAAAAGTGACCATCAGATTGACATCCAGTTGCAAGGCAGGGACAAAACCCATCAAAAGACCTGATTTGCAATCCTTTATCCTCTCTGGCTTGCTTTTTTTTTTTTTTTTTTTTTTTTTGACAGGCAGAGTGGATAGTGAGAGAGAGACAGAGAGAAAGATCTTCCTTTGCCATTGGTTCACCCTCCAATGGCCGCCGCGGCCGGCGCACCGCGCTGATCCGATGGCAGGAGCCAGGTACTTATCCTGGTCTCCCATAGGGTGCAGGGCCCAAGCACTTGGGCCATCCTCCACTGCACTCCCGGGCCACAGCAGAGAGCTGGCCTGGAAGAGGGGCAACCGGGACAGAATCCAGTGACCCGACAGGGACTAGAACCCGGTGTGCTGGCGCAGCAAGGCGGAGGATTAGCCTAGTGAACCACGGTGCCGGCCTTGGCTTGCTCTTGATAAAACAAAAAAGCCACCTAGAAGGCTGGGAAAGGTAACTTGTTTTTGCCATAATCTGTGAGCTCTGGAGATGGAATCGCCACACCCAAGCTATTATCATGGTAAATTTGGAGATTCCTAAGGAAATACACCCCAATTTCCACTGAGTGCCTATTAACTCATTGGACCCCTCACACTGACAGCTTGGGAGAGCCAAGTGCTCCCTCTGTGGGAGCCCGCACGTGTGTCTTTCCCAGGGGCTCGGGCCATGTCGCTGCTAGCCCTCAGGTCACGCCTGTGCCCGTTAGGAGCGGGCGCCCTCTGCACAGGGGCAGTCCTGAGGTGTGCTCCCTGGCTCGGGCAGCACAGCGGGGGCTGTTTCAGCCTCTACTTGCCCCTCAGCTGGGCGGCCTTGTAAAGAACACGACCTGTGACCACGCAGTCCACACGGCAGGCTCCAGGAAGCACGGTGGTGAAGGAGGAGAGAGGGGAGGGCAGGCAGCGGGCTGGCCAGCGGTCCCTTCCCTGCTTTAGGCACCATTCCTGGGCTCACGTGTGTTCACACATGTGCAGGAGAGGGTGGGAAGATCAAGCCTCCTTGGTGTGATCGCTCAGGATGAGGGGGCGGGACTGAGTGATCTCCGTGACACACTCACACACACACACGTATGCATTTTTTCTCAGTCCCCGAAGGACTAGCTAACCTCACCCCATTTCCCAGGTGTGTGAGCTCATTGTCTGGGGACATTTTACAAATGAAGACAATGCGGCTCAGAAAGAACCCAGGGTAGCTGGAGCCAGGCTCAGATGCTGCAGCTTCTGCATGGAGGGTTTTGTAGCCTACCTCCCGCAGGTGCACACATTAACACACAGACCAGATCCTGGCCTCAGCCGCCCTGGCTCCCCAGGCATCCTCCCAGCCCCGCCAGGCAGCTGATGCCTCCAAAAGTTGCTCTGGCCCTGGTGCCAGCGGCTGTCTCTGCGTGGCTCTCCAGAGTGGCCTTGGACCCAATCAACTCCCTTCCTGGTCGCACTAGCTCCCTGGGCCCCAGGCAGGGAGGCTGGGTGGGCTCCAGGAAGCAGGGCCTCTTCTTGGGGTCCTGGCTCCTGTAGCATCTCATCAGGTCCACCACGTGCTGGGCCTCACCTGACCACCCATCAGAGGTACCTCGGGGGGCTGCATGCCCACGGTCTCTTGGCTGATGATGGTGAACACTGTATTGGGAGGTCTGGGCTGTGCAGGGGCTGGGAGGCAGGAGCCAAGGGGCCGGGCAGGAGGCTGGGGCTGAGCGTCCTGGTGGATGTGCACACAGATGTGCGGTCAGTAAACGCTAGGTTTCAGGCCCACCTGAGGTTCCGATTTGAGCAGCTGAGTCTCCCAGGTCAAGGGCAGGCATGACACCACACCATAGGCTTGTGCCCTCCAGCTGGGCGAGGTGTCCCAGCTGACCTGACCATCTCTCTACCAGGAGGAGGTGGTGGGGCAGGGCTGGGAGAAGGCAGGGATGGGTGCTGTGGACAGCAGGAACTTGAGCCACAGAGCTGGTCTGGCCTGAATTGTGTCTCTCCTTTCATGAGCATGTGAGCCCTAGAGACATGGAGTGGAAGAGAGAAGGGTGAGGATGCCAGGACATGAACCTACCCTTGCTCTGCCCTCCTCAGCCCTAGTCCCTCACGGCACCATCCATGACCCCATCTCTGCCCCAGACACACTGCCACCAGAGCTCTGTGCCTCTGGAATTCTGTCCCAAAGCTGCAGGTGAGGATCATGTGCCCCAGGGGACTTTGTTGAGTGTCTGTGATCACCCCAGCAGGCAGGCCCACAGCTCACACTGTCCCAGGAGAAGCCTCCCCAGCTAGGGTCCACCCTGTCCTCCACCTCCAACCTGGACCAGGAGGGGCCTGACCTCACCCCTGTCCTGCCTTGCCAGGTTGGGTGGGGGCAGCAGGCTGCCTTCTGGGCATGTGGCTCGGAGCCCTGCCCCCTCTCACCTGCACATCTGATAAGTGGACCCTGGAGAACATCACAGGGCGTGCAGCCGAGCGCACCCTGCAGAGCCCACCCCTCCGTGTGCAGCATCCAGGCCATCTGTCCCACTTGGACAGGCCCAAGTCTGAAGGCTGGAGAAGGCCAGGCCACCTGGAGTCGTGCCCCCAGGAGGCTGCCTGGCATTCTCAGCCATCCCACTGCCCACCTGCAACCGCCGGGTGTGACGGCTTCCTACCACCCCGTCTCCAGCTCCACACTCACTACTCGCGTGATCACAGACAAGGTGCTTATCTTCTCAGAGCTCCTGTCCCCTTATCTGTGTGTGGAAATCACATGAGGGCCTAACTAATGATGCACTATTGTGAGCATTGCATGAGGCTACCTGTAAAACTGAGAACAGTGCCTAGCACGGAGTACATACGCGGCAGGTGTTGCCTTATCCCATAGAGTGAGGATGAGGTCAGCACCTTCAGTGAGTGAGCTTCTGCTCATCCCACCTCCACGGGCCCCGAGGCACTCACACCCACAGCTATTAATCCTCATTTATCTTCTGACCATGGCTTCCTTCATTCATCCACCAGCCACTCACTTAGGGCCAATGAGGCGAGGACTGAGGACCAGGCAGCGGTTAAAAAGGATGCCTGCTGTCCTCTCCCTCTCGCCCTCCTGTGTGCTTATTCAAACAGGGAGTGTAGTCACAATGGAAGTCTCAGACATGATTATGGGTCTAGCAATATGAAGAAGTACAGGTGCTGTGAGGGCACACAGCAGGGACCTGTTGGTGTAGAACAGGGAAGGCTTCCCTGAGGAGGTGATATTCGAGCTGAGAGCTGAAAGAGGAGTGAGTCTCTACTAGAGAGAGAGGACTGGGACAGGAGTAAGTCTCTACTAGAGAGAGAGGACTGGGGCACAGAATGTTCACCGATCATGGGGGGAGAGGGAGTGGCATGTTTTAGGAACTAGAAAAAAATGGCCCTTGGGATTTTTTTTTTTTTTAAGATTTACTTATTTATTTGAAAGTCAGAGTTACAGAGAGGCAGAGGCAGAGAGAGAGGTCTTCCATCTGCTGGTTCATTCCCCAAATGGCTTCAATTCCTGGAGCTGCACTGATCTGAAGCCAGGAGCCAGGAGCTTCTTCCGGGTCTCCCACGTGGGTGCAGGGGTGCAAGGATTTGGGCCATCTTCTACTGCTTTCCCAGGCCACAGCAGAGAGCTGGATCAGAAGACGAGCAGCTGGGACTAGAACAAGTGCTCATATGGGATGCTGGCACTGCAGGCGGCGGCTTTACCCACTATGCCACAGCACTGACCCCGGTTGTGATCTTTTTTAACCATGATCTGTTACACACATCCTCATCCAAAGCAAAAGTTGGGAAGGGAGGGATTGAAATGGGAGCCTGCAGCCCAGCTAAGGTGATGCAGGCTTCCTGGTACCTGTTTCATGCACCAAACTCTGCTGCTTAGAAGCCTGTGTTCCAGCTGTGGCCCCTGACTTCTACATTTGTCCATGACGGGCCAGTCGGCAGGTGAGACTCCTGCCCAGGGATTGCTCAGGACCCTGACCTTGCGAAGCACGCTGCTGCCCAGGAGGGTGAGGTCCAGGGGGAGCAGGGGTGGCTGGAGGCCGTGGAGGAAGTTCATGGCTAAGCTGGTCTCATGGAGGGTAGGGAAGCTGAGCTGCCAACTGAGGCTGGGTGTGGGTGGCACCTTCTCCTGGGAGCCCTTGGTGTTATCCCCATCACCATGACCAGGGACTGCTGAGGTAGCCCCAGGTGGACAGGACGTACTGAAACTCCATCTTCTCCGTGCTGGCTGCTACTTCAACGAGGTGATTCACCACAGAGCCCCAGGCAAATGAGAGCGAGAGATGGAAGAGTGACCCCTTAGTTACAAGAGCAACTGGTAAGACACAAGCTGCGTGTGACGCCAAGCTGTGGGGACCCTGGCCTGGTCCCAGAAGCTTGCGAGGCAAGTGGGGAGGAAAAAGAGAGGAAGGGAGGGCCAGCAGACAGCACAGACCCCAGCCTGCCGTATACTCTGCTACTTGTTTCTGTTTATCTCCCCTAGGAGACTCTGAGCCCAGGAAGGAGCAATATTATATGTCCTGCTTCTGCTTCAAAATGCCATCAATTGCTATTTTGATTATGAAAGTAATACACATGCTCAGAGAAAATCTAGGGAACTCAGCTATGAAAAGGAAAATTAAATAATCAGTAATCCAAGCTTCCTGAGTTGGTCTCTATTAATATCTTCGGATATTCTTTGATGATGCCTTGATACATTTTCAGGTATCTTTCTGTTCTATCTCTCTCTTGTGATCTTCCGATCACACAATGCATGGAGCATGCGTGTGATCCCCACCCTGCTGCTCTCCCTCCCGAAGCAGGGTGGCTGGTGGAGCGCTGTTCTGCTCACGGAGGAACCGTAATCATTCCTCCTTGTACTTCCCCACGGCACATATGCACTGCACGATGCCTCTGTAGAAGCAAGTGGGAGTCTAGACTGAAGCGAAGACGTCACAAAATAAGCATTTGCAAGCCCACCTTTCAGTCTAGGTGACTGCACAACAGTAAACACGCAAATTGTTGCAGATTGTTTGGGGAGCCTGGGGACAAGGATTAGAGGAGAAATGGCCTGTGTGGAAGCATTGCATTTGCAAAGCTATTGGCACTGCGGTCAGAAGCTGCTGGAAGTGTGCTGGCAGAGTCCCTCTGGGCAGCCAGCTAGAGAGGCTGAGCTCCAGGCAAAACCACCGTGGTGCCAGGCATCGGACAGCTTGGCTACTCCAGGTCCCTCGTGTTTCTGCCCTTACTTCTCCACTGTTCTCCAGACGGCCCCGCAATGCTGTGGCATGTTTCTATCTGTCTCCTTTTGTCCTCTTGGGCTCACAGGAACCAGAACAGTATCTGTCAAGTGGGGCAAGCGAGGGATCCAGCAGTCACTCCACCCTGACTTCGAATCCCACATTCCCCACTTACTCTGTGTGTGGCCCGTGAGTCCCCGGGGCCACGTTTTCTCAACAGTAAAATGGGAACGCTAGTCACTGCCTTGCACAACTCCACTTCATATCCTGACTGGTGAAAGCCGGGGCTGCCGTCTCCTTTGTCTCGGTGCCCAGCACCCCTTTCATCTCGTTTCTGGTGCCAGTACCTCCCTGATGCCTGTTAAGGTCGCCAACCACCTCCAGGTTGCTCCAGCCAATGACCAGTTCCCAGTTCCTGGTTTATGTATGGTTCACATCTCTCTCCCTCCCTCCCTCCCTCCCACCCTCCCTATCTCTCTCCCTCTCTCTCTCTCTCATCCTTTCTGGCCTTAGCCCTGTGTCAACATTCTGTTTCTCTTTCTCTAGTCACATCCTCTCTGTGTCTTTTGCAGGCTCATATTCTGTTGTTTGACTACAGGGCTGGATTCTAAGCCCTCTCCTCTCCTTTTCTCACTATGTGTTCTTGCTCTAGTTGATCTCAGCATCTCCGGTTGGACATTCAAAATCAACATATCTGGGGCCAGCATCATGGTATAGCAGGTAAAGCTGCCACCTGCAATGCTAGCATCTCCTATGGGTGCCAGTTTGAGTCCCAGCTGCTCCACGTCCAATCCAGCTCTTTGCTAACAGCCTGGGAAGGCAGCAGAAGATGGCCCAAGTGCTTGTCTTGCTTGCAGTCTCCCTTCTACCCACATGGGAGACCTGGAAAAAGCTGCTGGCTCCTGGATTCAGCCTGGCCCAGCCCTGGCCATTGCAGCCTTCGGGGGAGTGAATCAACAGATGGAAAATCTCTGTCTCTCTCTCTCTCTCTCTCTCTCTCTCTCTCTCGGAAGTGGAGCAGCTGGGACTCGAACTGGCGCCCACATGGGATGCCAGCGCTGCAGGCAGCTGCTTTACCCACCACGCCATAGTGTCAGCCCCCAGAGTGATAGTTTTAAGAGGTAGGTGGTAGCATGTCCTGCTCAGGATCCTCCAAGGCATCCTTTCTAGTCCTCAGTAACACAGTGTTCTTACAGCGACCCACCAAGTCCCACGTAGTCTGCTCTCACCTCCAGGTGTAGCTTGCCAACCTCACCAGCTGCTAATCGCTCCCTCTCTCACTCTTCTGCTGTTCCCACCTCACTGGCAGCTCCCACCCTCTGCCTGCAGCGCTCTCCCTAGGAGAGCCCCGTGTCTTCGCTTCAAGTCTCTATGCAAATGACACCTAAGCAGTAAAGCTTTCACAAACACGCGTCTACACCAAGTGGCACCCCCAGCTCCGGCGAGCCTTGTTCTTCCTTACCCAGAAGGCTGCAAACTTAGGATTTCCACAGCAAACGTTTCCCCGCAGGATCAGGCTACTCAACTCCCCTTAGAGATTTGATTCGAGCAAATGCCAGGTGGCCGTGATGCTACATGTCTGTCTGTCTGTTTCCCTCCTTCCGCCCTTTAGATTCTAAGCTGCACAAGCCAGGGACTTTGTCTCATTCAGTCAGTGCTGAGGCTGAACGCACCTCACCCAGGCGCTGGCTTCAGTCACCACCCAACACAGCCGACTCGGGCATTTTCCCACCGGGAGCTCCAACCTTCCCTCTGAGGTCTGCGTGGCAAATCTGGGCTCTTTGAAGGCACCTCAAACTCAGCGTGTACAAAACTGAACACAGGACGGGCTTCTCCAAACCCGGGCCTCTCTTCCCGTTCCCTGTATCACCACGCTGCCATTCAGCACTTAGGTGCTGAGCACCAGCTGTGTGCCAGGCCCCAGGGACAGAGCACTGAGCAGACAGACACAACCCCGCCCTCTCAGGGCTGGGGACTCTGCTGACCCCTCCCTCCCTTTGGAAACCAGACATGGCGTGAACCCTGACATCCCTCCGCCTCCTCACTGGCCCTCTATAGCCAATCCAGTGCCAGGCTGGGTAGATTTTTCACCTCTTAACTACTGCTTAACCCAGTCCTTTCCCTCAGAACCCCAGCATAGACCCCAATCTTCTCTCGCCTGAGTGAAGACAGCAGGCTCTTGTCGGACCCCTTCTAAGCCATAGTCCACTGCAACTACAACGAGCTCCTTCCTGTCACAGCCGCCCCTGCCTGACAGCAGACCCTCCACGGGCTCTCCACTGCTCCTTTCCTCTCCCAGCTCCAGCCATGGTGGCCTTTTGACCAGCCTTATACTTACCACGCCCCTGCTGCCACAGGCCCTTTGCATACCCTGTCGCCTGTTCCTGGAAAGCTTTCTGCTCCTCACCCACTTAACTCACATGGATTCTTCCCATTCCAGCTCTAACACAACTTACTCTGGGAGGCCTCTTCTGTCTCAGCGAAACCTGCTGTTAATAAGCTTTCACGGAACCCTACATCTCTCCTTTCTCTCGCTTCTCACAGCAATGCTACATTGATCAGGGTGGGAAGCTCCTGCAGGGCCGGGCCATATCTCGTTCATCCTTCACTGCATCCCAGCGGCCAGCACAGTGCCTGCCACGTAGTAGGAGCGCCCGAAGCACTCATCAAGTGATGAATAAATGCGCAGGCGGGAGGAGCACCCGGCGAAGTGATGCACCTGTGATGCCTCGAGCGCCCAGCCCAGCTCTCCGCACGCAGCAGTCACTGACTGCCATGAACTCCTTTACCCGTTCCACCCTGGGAGTTCCCAGACCTTGGGAAGGGAAAGTGGCAGGTGTTGTCATCAGTGTCTTCCAGGAGAGTCTTGTCAATGCCATCTGTTTCCTTTTGCTCTTTGCTCCAAAGCCCATCAATCCCAGACTAATCTGACTGAACTCCAAAGCCAGCAGGCAGGTGTCGGGGGAGGAAGGTGCAGGAGCCCTAAGCTATCTCACCTTTCCCCCTCTTCATGAAGTGGGGGGTCCAGGCTCAGAGGGAGAGTGTGGGACCTCAGCTGTCTTGAGGGGCGTGATGACCAGGGAGCAGGTGACAAATAGATCCATGCAGGAGGCCAACAGGAGACCTCCCCTCCCCAGGTTCTCTAGGTGATGAACCAGCAGTCTCGGCAGGAGGACGTGGCTGCCATGGTTCTCGGACTTGACCTCCCAAGCATCCACAAGGCAGGCAATCGCATGGCCAAGTACGTGCAAATCCTGCAAGAATGAGACTGGCGCTCAGCCCAGTGGGAAGAGAGCAACGAGTGGGAACAGTGGTCACGAGGGGAAAGGAAAGGTCCATTAAAGTATGTCAAAGTGACAGCCAGGGGCCAATCAAGGCCAGAGATCTGAGTCCCCAGGCCTCAGCCTCCAGCAGGGGAGCTGCATGCCTGTGGCCACTTGGATGATGATTGTCACCATGTTGAACCCTGCAAGGGGAGGTCTGGGCTTTACAGGTGCTGGGAGGGAAGGGTATGGGGGCTGAGCAGGTGGCTGGGGCTTTGAGGGTCCCAAAATGAGGTGGCCGAGTCGCTAAAAGGGATTCACAGCCCAGCTGTGGCTGTCGGCATGAGCAGGTTGGTGCTGGGTGTCCGGCTGGTGCACCTTCCTTGCAAGCATCGGGGCCGTGAGTCTGCCTTCCGGTTCCAGCATATGAGCTGCTTGGATCGCAGCAGTGATCTTTTCTGCTGGGACAGCTGCACTTGGCTATTTCATCACAACAAAGCCATGGGAAGGTTTATTCCCGCTGGGAAGGCCGACCCCAGGACAGTTCATGCTTCTGACATGGAGGGTTTGGGAGATAAAGCTGTGCACTGCTGTTGCGGAGGTTCAAAAGTTCCTGGTCTGTGATGGGTTCCATGCAAAACACAATGAAGAGACTGGAGCCCACGTGGGACCCCTGATGCTCAAGGAAAAGGAAACATAAATGGACAGTTTGGATGCCGCAAACCCACATGTCATGATGCGACCTGGCTGTTTAATTAGAGTGACTGCGCTTCTACTTCACCTCCCTTGGTCCGGGATGTGATATATTGCAAACTGCACCTTTCACATTCATGGCATTTACTTTTCTTGTTGAAACTTCATGGCGTACATTTGTTTAAACCAAAACCAAAAAAAAAAAAAAAAGTAAAAACCAGCGTCATGGCCTGTGAGTTATTTTGGTCTTGTAAGGGTCTGTTTCTTTAAATTTAAAGTAATGATATTATGGGCCGGTGCCGCGGCTCACTAGGCTAATCCTCTGCCTAGCGGCGCCGGCACACCGGGTTCTAGTCCCGGTTGGGGCGCCGGATTCTGTCCCGGTTGCCCCTCTTCCAGGCCAGCTCTCTGCTGTGGCCAGGGAGTGCAGTGGAGGATGGCCCAAGTGCTTGGGCCCTGTACCCCATGGGAGACCAGGAAAAGCACCTGGCTCCTGGCTCCTGCCATCGGATCAGCGCGGTGCGCCGGCCGCGGTGCGCCGGCCGCGGCGGCCATTGGAGGGTAAACCAACGGCAAAGGAAGACCTTTCTCTCTCTCTCTCTCACTGTCCACTCTGCCTGTCAAAAAAAAAAAATTTAAAAAAAATAAAGTAATGATATTATGATATAGTTGTATCTTGAGGTTGATGTGTTAAATTTTTCTCAAAATTGTGCCTAAGCAGATTGTAAGTTTCAAGCAAAAAATACCAAATGACTTAGTAGAAGGTAAATAGGGTGTGATCAAGCTACACAGACTTCTTAATACAACCTAGGAAAAGCCCGATTATGACCTTGATTTTGTTCTTGACAACAGTAATGACAGTGAGAGGATATGGCTTCTGTGGTTTCAAAGTTTTCCATCAAAAAAATGAGTTGTGAATGCTGTTCTGCTTAATTATAACTGGTCAGGCCAATAACAAAGGGGCAATAACTTCTTTGTACTCATCTTGATGGGTGTTTCATTGATCCATTACAGGAACTAATAGATCAAAGTGAAAAAAAAGAGATTCATGCCACTCTCAGGGGACTTGGTCAATTTTTTTTAAGAATTATTTATTTATTTTTTAAAAAAAGATTGATTTTATTTATTTGAAATACAGAGTTAACAGAAAGAGGTAGAGACAGAGAGGTCTTCTATCCGCTGGTTTACTCTGCAGATGGCCGCAATGGCCGGAGCTGAGCTGATCCGAAGCCAGGAGCCAGGAGCTTCTTCCAGGTCTCCCATGTGGGTGCAGGGACCCAAGGACTTGGGCCATCTTCTACTGCTTTCCCAGGCCATAGCAGAGAGCTGGATCAGAAGAGGAGCAGCCGGGATTAGAACTGGTGTCCATATGGGATGCCGGCGCTTCAGGCCAGGGCTTTAACCCGCTGTGCCACAGCGTCGGCCCCATGGAACAGGTTGTTATAAGGTAGGACAGCATCTCAAGTCTTGCAGGTATCCCTTGTCCTTCTGCCTTCGGCCACGCTGTGACGCAACTTGAGTCTCCTGCCGGATGCAGCCACCCAATCTCAGATTTTCAGCCTCTGGAACTGTGAGCCAAAATAAAGCTTTTTTCTTCTTCTTCTTTTTATTTTTTTAAATAAATGACTCCGTCTGTGGTATTCTGCTATAACAGAAAACAGAGATGGAAATATGTATCCCAAAATGGGGTATTGCTATAAAAAGACCTGAAAATGTGGAAGGGTCTTTGGCACTGGACGATAAGCAGCAGTTGG